TTGGAATTTGGTTCTGACCACTTGTGGTGTTCTGAACATCTTCCTCACGTTTTCAGCAGGTTGGAAACTTTCATCTTGGATTGTCAATGATTAGAAGATTCTGGAACAACCAATGGATAAAGTTTTGATCCTTTTGAAGTGGATATTAGTGGAGAATGTGTTACTGTTTGATTACAGAATTTTGGATGGCTTTTGAATATATATTAGGAACTGTATGGGTGATTTTGTTCAGAAAACAACTTGAGAAAAATGGAGCTTTAATGCAAGAATCAAATGCTAAGGTTTTTTTTTTGTGTTTGCAATCTTTTTGGATTCTTGGAATTTTGCAGGGGGTTCAAGGCTTTTCTTTCTCAAATTCCACACCTTTATCTCAAATTTCTCCGACCTCTTTTCAATGGCTAATGGTGTTCTATTTATATGCCGAGGTTTTACAGTTTGGAGATGTCAAGTGGCACCAACATCATACACTAGATGCTGACTTACTCTTGAAGTAAGCTTAAACAAGTGGTTCAATGCATCAAGTTGGATGGTTAACATCGTCTAAGCTGGATTCAGAAGCGTGAATTAAGGGAAAGTAGAAGCAGCACATGGGCCTAGCATACTTTTTCACAACAAATGGTCTTCCCAAGACAGTAGGGGTACACGTGGGGGAAATACTTTGGATAGCAACTCACAAGTGGTTGTGAGCATTAAATGATGATCAGAAATCCTGCCATGTGAAACTCTGCGTCCTTGCTTAACTCTGGATTAGAAGTTCTGCTTCAGCGTAGCATCTCATCTTCTGAGCCTCTTATCTTCTGGCTCTAGCATGTTATGAAGGAGCTTTCAGACTTTTTGGAAAGCTTGCAGCACGCTTCTTAACCTTCTTTGATTTACTCTGGAAAAATCTGACTGAAGATTTTGTGAAAACTTTCCCAGAAGTTCTGACCAAACTCTGTCTCGAGAATATCCAGAATTTGCTGAGTGCTTTAGTGATAATCTGGTCAGAAGTTCTGAAATTGTCATAATCCTTAAATACTTAGAAAAATTTCTAAGTACTTTAGAATTTGACTTTTCCAAAGTAAAGATTTGACTTTTAAATTTCTTGATAAAACATACTTCATATTCCAACATGTCTTGATGAAATATGATTTTTTGAGATTTGATTTTGATCTAAAAGTCAAAGTTAGACTTCTCAGTGTGCAAATGACCATTTTGCCCTTGTGAATGATTTGCTTGGAAAAATTTACAATTCAAGGCCTGGAAACTTGATAGAAGCAAACCTGGGATCCAGGATGATCTCTTATGAAATGAGAGAGCTAATTTTGGGGTACAACACCATGAAATCCACTTGAGGCATTAGAAGCTCGATTTTCCTTGAGAAACACAAAACTCTAGTTATAGGTCAACTGCTTAGGAAGTGGGTTTGTCCGATCAATCCTTGAGTAGTCTTGAGCATTTGAGAACCTTAGGAGCATGAGGAGGTATCTTGAATCAATTTGTCTTGAAAAATGGGAAGACAAATTTTGGGGTACAATATCTATATACAATGGTATTGATAAGAACATGTTCATATTAATCAACACATGTACTTAATCTAAAGAGGTTTGGGAGATTCTCAAGACTGCTCATGAAGGCACATCCAAAGTGTGTATGTCAAGGATTAACCTTCTCATCACTAAGTTTGAAACCTTGAAAACGATGGAAGGTGAATCCATATCTAATTTTAATGTCAGACTTTGTGACATTTTTGTATCTCAAAGCAAGTATGCTTAGAGTATAATGAATAAGTTTGGACTTGGAAATGCAAGCCATAAAAGAACTCATGCTGCTACCCGTGTGAAAGTGACCAAAGATGATAATGGAGTTGATGTAGATTATAGTCTATACAGAACCGTAATTGCGAGTCTACTCTACCTCACAATAAGTATACCAGGCATCACATTTTTTGTAGGTGTTTGTGCTAGATATCAAGCTAAACTTAAGACTAGTCAATCTTAATCAAGTGAAGAGAATCTTGAGGTATGTCAATGGAACATATGACTATGAAATTCTCTATTCACAAGACACTAACTCAATACTAGTACGGTATTATAATGTTGATTGAGTTGGAAGTGTAGATGATAGAAAGAGCATATCTGGTGGATGTTTCTTCCTTGGAAACAACTTAAAATCTTGGTTCATTATTTACAGCTGAAGTTGAATACATTACTGAAGGGAGAAGTTGCACATAATTTCCCTGAATGAAACAAATGATAAAAGAGTATGATATGGGACAACATGTCATGGCATTATTCTGTGACAACTTGAGTCCGATTAATATTTCAAAAAATCTTGTACAACACGGAAGAACCAAGCATACTTATATAAGGCATCATTTCACCAGGGAACTTATAGAAGATAAAATTGTCAACCTTGAGCATGTAGCAAATAAAAAATAGTTGGGTGACACATTTACTAAGGCTTTAGATGCAATTCAGTTTCAAAGTTAAGGGGTGCCTTTGGCGTTTATATCTGTGAGAGTCTATAGTTGTTAAAGCTTAGGAAGCATGCAATGGAGTGTCTCTCTCTTTTGTTATGTGTTGCAAATGAACAAAGCTAATTTTGCTTGTTTCAAAACCTATCTTTATTTTGACCTCTGTTACAAGCAAGAACTACCTTCACTTATCTTTATCTTGCTCTTAGAAAGCTGCTCGTTCTATTATCCCACTAGTGATTATTTTTTCAATATGAGTAAATATTATGATAATCCTAAGATGCGTTGTAATGGCTTTTTTTCCACTAACAATATTCTAATGCTCTTGCATCACGTTCAACATTTGTCCTTATGATTGTTGATGACTGTTTACCCCTGATCTACTATGTGTATGTACTAACATACTTACTGTAGGATCAAGCGCCTACCACTGCGCTAAAAGCAATTGCTTGTAGCCAAGGTGCTACTCTATTTCCTTATAGCGAATCCAACAAGGGGCCTATCTGGCCCACCTAACACACTTGTGTAGGCGCCCATGGGGGATGTTAAGCCCTTCGAATCCCTAAGGTTGACGCTGGATATTTTAATCCAACAATCTTCCCCCCCAGTGTCAGCCGGGGGGATTCGAACCCATGAACTTGCTCTGATACCACTTGTAGGATCAAGCGCCTACCACTGCGCTAGAAGCAATTGCTTGTAGCCAAGGTGCTACTCTATTTCCTTATAGAGAATCCAACAAGGGGCCTACCTGGCCCACCTAACACACCTATGTAGGCGCCCATGGGGGGATGTTAAGCCCTTTGAATCCCTAAGGTTGACGCTGGATCTTTTAATCCAACACTTACCTCCGTGATGAGTGACTGATATCTTTGAGGAACACCATTGCCAAGTTATGGAAAAATGGTTAGCCGTGATGTGTAAGTGTAGTATAATGTTATGACTACTAACCTTTTGATATGTGTTGTTGCTGTCTGTTGTTGATGTGTTCTGGAAGATGTGTGCTCACATGCTAGGGCATTTGGCCTGATATCTCGCATTTGGACATGTGTGAGTTATGGTGTGTGAAATATGATGTTCTTTATTTCTTTGTCTCTTAGTAGTTTCTTCTGACTCTTGACTACTGACTACTAACTATGTGTGCATGCATGGCTAACTACTGATCTTGAATGATGCATGACTAACTATTATGGAGCATTGGCTATTTTGTAGCAACCTTTTGACTGATGACCTTGCTACTGATTTGTGTTGCTGCTACTTTGATTTTGGTTGCTACTGTTGTTTGTTCTGTGTGCTTGTGTGTGGTGTGTTGCCTACACATCTTGGATGTTTTTTTGGAAAATGTTATTATGCCAAAATTTTCCAAAGGGGGAGTTTATTGTTCCTTTTGGGATTGATTGCATTATTTAAAACTACATGGCATGTTCAAGATATTTTCTGTGAAGATTGACACATGTGGGAAAAATGCCCTAGCTTGTGTGTATCATTTGTACGTTGTCTGGAAGACAAGGATATTACTGTATGCAAGTTTTTCAGACACATGGATCGTGTTTCTGTTACTTATGCAACAAGGTTTGTTGCTATTTTTTAGCAATCAGATTTGTTTGATTATCTAATTATGTTAAATTTAAATAATGGAGATTTGAATTTGAATCCAAATCAAATTAAATATTTTATCTTGGAGCTGATTTGAAGAAACAAATATCAATTGAATCTCCACTATTTCAGGACAAAATCGAATGAAATATCCAAAGAAGAAAATTCCATAATTGATTGTTATATATAAGACTATTTCCTTGCCTTGAAGTTCACGAGTTTTAGTGACAATTTGTGTTTAGGTTGAGTTTTTTGTTTGTGTTAATTGTACACCATACTATTTTCTCATTCACAAGGCATAATAGTTTATTTGTTTAGTTGAATTGTAATTCAACATAAATCGCTTTGACTATTTATGTTTGTCACTTAGGATTAATGATAGAGAAAAAGTGAGAAGGTACTTCTCATATTTAGGGGAAGACCTAAATAGAAAGACACCGATGATAGAATTAAAAAGAGAGATATTGAACAAGAGACTTGTTCATCTAAGACACTTTGTATTAATTCTATTGAAGAGTGAATTTTCTTTCTTGAGTATGAATGTCCTCAAGATGTATGTGTGGTTTGCATCGAATTGGACTACCAATTCACTTGTGTTATTTATTACTTTCTCTTTAAGTTCTATATTATTGTCATATTGTTTACAACTTGGTTTAACAAATTCGACAAGTTGTATCAGACATCTAATCCAATATTTATACCCTAAAGAATAAAATTTCACAGCTAATCCTAAGAAGGGCCCACTTCAATGTGAGCTTCCTCCAATTTCTCGGCACTATCAAAGAAATAAATTATTCACACTAGAAAAATGCATTGCCTCTAGAATTTCTTTTTCCTCTTCCAAAAGTTAAATCAACATAGAATTACACTACTTTTGTTCCATTATTTATCAATAAACGATAAAAATACTATTTTTATTTCACTATAAACTCATAGATAAACTGCTATTCTTCTATCTTGCATCTAACTGTGACATAGTTACATTATTTATTGAAGAAGAAATTTGTCTTTTGGATGAAGCTTCTCCTATGCTTCGTATTTCTGTATATAGATAACCTGGTTCATGTGGTAGAGGTAAAGTATTATTATTACTATTCAACATCACAACAACAGATGTCATATTTGGCCTATTATCAGGATGATGTTGCAGACACAAAAGCCCTATTTGAATACATCGTGAAGCTTCATAAAGAATACACGTATCTTTCAAATTATCATCAATCAGTGACTGTATGTTATCCTCTTTCCATAACTTCCATGCCTGCAAAAATATTAACAAAATTATTATCTATGTTAGGTAGAGGAAAAATAATTGAATTTTTTTAGATCACTCACATGTCCAATAAGATTGTGATCGTCTTGATAATAGGTAAGGGTTCTGTTTTTCTTTCCACTTATAAGTTCAAGCAATAAGACACCAAAGCTAAATACATCTGATTTAACTGAGAATAATCCGTCAATGGCATATTCTGGTGCCATATAACCACTGAAAAGAAACAAAACGAATAAATTTCATGTTTAAATAATTACTGCAAGACTATATCTATTTTTATGATACTTACTATGTACCAACTATTTGATTTGTTGTTGCTTCTATTTGGTCACCTACACACATTTTAGCAAGACCAAAATCTGAAATTTTTGGATTCATATCTCTGTCTAATAAAATATTGCTGGCTTTCAAATCTCTATGTATGATTCTTAACCTTGAATCTTGATGTAGATAAAGAAGACCTCGAGCAATTCCGTACAAAATGTTAAAACGCATAGGCCAATCTAATAATTTACTTTGAATTTGATCTGTTAAAAATTTTCAATAAATTTAATTAGTAGTTTTCTCTTCAATAATAATGGCATGTACAAATAATCAAATTTGCATTATGATAAATATTAAACTTTAAAAGATTACTTACCAAAAATAAATGAATCTAGGCTTTTATTTGACATGTATTCATAGACCAACATTTTTTCACCGCTTTCAACACAATAACCAAGTATCTTAACAAGATTTCGATGTTGAAGTTTAGAACATAAAATTACTTCATTCCTAAATTCTTTTGATCCTTGTCCAGAACTCCATGAAAGCCTTTTGACTGCAATTTCTTGACCATCTTGCAACTTACCCTACATTGATGATTGAAAGTAATTTGATAAACAATTCAAATGATTTTTCTTTAACCTTATTAAAAATATGTTTAAATATACCTTGTAGACCGGTCCAAAACCACCTTCGCCCAATTTATTATCCTCTGAGAAGTTATTCGTGGCCTTAACTATTGTAGCAAGATCAAAGTAAGGGAGGTCTAAATCATAATGCTCATCTTCATTATTGTTTTCTGCCAAGATGATGAGAACAATTGTATTAAAAATATGAAAAAAGTTGGGTGTAAATGTAAGTGGTTAAATCTTAAAAAGAAAATGTTGGGTATATAAGAGAAGTGACATATATGCGTATTGTTTTAAGATAAAATCTTGGACTTTTATCTTATTGACACTTCTGATGTTTCCCGAACTCTCCAACAAGTGGTATCAAAGTCATAATTCATATTGGTGGGAGAACGGTAAGTAGATCCAATGTTAATTCTTGTTATAAGATGTGAGAGACTCACACTTATAGAGGAGATGAATACAAGTGCGAGGGGTTAAATTCATATCGCTGTAGGAAAATATTAGATTTATAATACAATAAGTATATGTTGGATTAACTTAAGTGTGCTAAATGAAGAATGTACACACCCAAAATAGCAAGGAAATGTTTAATCATAGGTCACTTAGGGGTTTAAAAGATATTAAATGTACACAAATTTATTAAAAAAACAAAGTATATGTTGTGAAATATAAAATGCTCTAAGGATACAAAAAGTACCTCTGTTCTTTCTCTTTTTTCTACTAATGTAGAGGGTCAACAGCATCACAATGACTGCAGAAACAATGATTGAAACTAACAAGATAGCTGTTTTTGTATGCTCATGTTTATCACCTGCAATGAAACATTGTGTTCTTTAATATGACCCTATTACATTAGCACGTAAAAGAGTAGTGTATTTTTTACCTATATTTGATGCATCCATTCGAACATACAAGTTTCTGCTAGATTCTATAACTCTCAAATCTTTAAGATCATTAAACCATAAGGAACAACCGCCGCTGTCTTTATTTGGGTCGAAGCTTGAATAAGCTGTGCAGGAACAATTTTGCAAACATTTGAGCTTGCAATCATCAAGTGTCATATTAACATCAACCCATGTATTTGCAGTATCTGGCAACTTTACTCCAGTAACTTTAAGAAAACCGTCCCTGCTCTTGATTCCACAGCTCCAATTTCCAGTACGCACACATCCATCTGCCCAGTTCATTGTGCTCCACTGTTGCGCTGATTTTGGCTTAAACCCATCCAAACACTGACAAATTGGTGATGCGTCAATCACACATTTTCCATATGGTCCACAAACATTATAAGCATCACAAGCATCATGTGGTAGTTTCAAGTAATTACTCCATACTCTAGAATCAGGAATCCATATAAGGCGTTGAAGAAGCAAAAGTGTCTGATTTAAAACAAGTATGGAAAACACAGATTTGTTCTTTAGGGTGTACATATAATACACTTGCTCTTCATTGTTTACAAGCTCTAAATTAGTAAGTGGGTTAACCTTCATCTCATAAGCTCCACTAGACGTACCACCAGTCAGAGGCCCTGATCTATAGAACTCAGTCGAGCCCTTCCAAATAGCCGTTTCAGGATTGTTCGTAAGTCTCATGGATGCAGTAAAGTCACCTGAAGATGGATCGTCCCAGTTTTTCCATGCAGTAAATATTCTAAGAATACCGGTTTTCTTGTCCCATCCATTCTTCATTTCTGGTAATAATGTATCAGTAGGATAGTCAAAGCTCTGCCACAAGAAACTATCTTCATCAGCTGAACTGTCTTTCTCATCTCTGATCACTAAATTTCCGTTGTTCAGAAGCTGGACGATTGGAGTTGAAGACTTCTTTGTTGTGTTTGTTGACCATAGAAGAGACTGGTTGCGGTTGAGAAGAACCAGATTTCCTTGTTTGTTTATGATCAACGTGCTTGAGTTGTCTCTGATAGGATTATCGCGATTTGCAACCCAAACAACAGTTTGAACAGGGACGTTTTTGTACCAAATTCCAACATAGCGGTTTGGGGAACTACCGGGATTGAAGAAACCTAACTCGAAGGTCTCATCTTTGGAAATCAAGGTGCTTCCATCAGAAAGTGAATCTGATTGGGTAATAATATCATCAGCTCCATAGGATAATTTGGACAAGAGTAATAGGAACTCGGTAACAACAAGCATGGCATGGAAAATGGTCATTTTGGTTGTTTCGTGATACAATGAATTCAGAGGGCCATTTTTCTAAGAGATTGATCTTTGTTTCTCAAGACACATGGAAAGAAAAAAAAGAAGAAAATACATTATTCTGCATATATTTAATAAAGAATAATGCTATTTCTTACCAACCAACCATATCTATTTTATAAAAAACACGCGAATAGCAACAGTCAAATTTTGGATAAGAAGAATAGTAGGAGCTTAGTAATAAAAAACACAAAAGAAATAATTCTCATTTTGCTGTTTTTCTTGGTAATGACTAAATCAAGAGAAGATACATATAAACAACCTAATCATCGAAAATAATCTAATTAATAAAAGTCAAAGTCAAATATGGAAAAAAACCTATGACTAAGATTTCATATAATCGAGCATTTCCTATGACTTGGAATTTCTTTCTTTCTCAAAAGAAATAATTTGCACAATTTTCACTAGATAGTTTCATTAATATATATATATATATATATATATATATATATATATATATATATATATATATATATATATATATATATATATATATATATATATATATATATATATATATATATATATATATATATATATATATATATATATATATATATATATATATATATATATATATATATATATATATATATATATATATATATATATATATATATATATATATATATATATAACAGACATGCACTTTCATATACAATAACTTTTTTTGGTTCAATATAAAATTATTATTATCTCAAATTATACAATTAATTTTAAAATATTTTTTGATTTAACGTAACGATGACAATTTGCCTCATATCCTATGTGTATTTGTAAAAAATTTCTATAATGGGTAGAATAAAAACTCGTAAAATCGGTACGAGCATATATAATTACCCATTAAATTAAGCGGGTATGAATACGGGCACGTGTACCTTAATACCCATCCCACCCCATATCCGCACTATATATTTATATAATGACACTTATATTTTTATATAAAAATGCATGTTTATCAATTTTTAAAAGTATATTGCTATTGAACTATTACACATTTTAATAAAAGTGTTTATTTATTTCTTAACTCAATAATAACATCCACAATTTTTAATAATATTGTTAAAAAACTTAAAAATTATATGATATTTTATAATTAGTTGATTTAATTTTACTACAAACGCGGGTAAACGGACACGGGTATAGGTATTGAAGTACCCATAGGGTACGTGTATGGGTATGAACAATAGTGTCCACACAGGTTTAGGCTCGACACAGGGATTTTTTCAAACAGCATGTATGGGGATGGGTACTATAGTACCCTGCACAAACCCTGTCCATTGCCATCCCTAATTTAGCGGAACATAAAATATATTGTTCATTAATTGACAATGTGAAATTATTATCTTCGAAATAAAGTTCGTGGAAGAAGATATCATGTTTGCACGACATTAGGTTTTTTGGGATGCTTTGCTAGGGTTTGAAAGAAAACCTAATAGGCATGGGCTCCTCAGAGGTAGTCCATCAACCATATGACTTTCTGTTGTCGGCTCTTGTTTCTCGATTGGCTCATGCGTATTGATTCCAACCCCAAACACAAAAGAAATCATTTGCACAACTTCTTCAAAATGAGTGTGACATAACAATTTCTAATTGTCAAGCCTTGCCTCAAAGGTAATTGTCTCTCAATCAATATAGCTGGAGAGGCTTACAACGCAAGACTCGAATGTTGTAAGAATAATTTACATGATAGATTGATCACTAGTAAAGATAACATGCTACTAAAGACATCATTATTACGCGACAAACTCATGAAGTTATCTAGTCCAATTACTAATTGGGATTTAACTCCTTTGGGACGTGACCATTTTGAATTTTCATTCAAATCACGGGAGGATCTCAAAAAAATTCGGAGTGTAGAAACATGGAGTGTTAACCCCTTACTCGTGCATTTGTTTGTGTGGACGTCAAATTTTAGAACTAAAAATTGAAGATTACATGTGCTCAAGTATGGTTAGGGATGCATGGTTTTCCATTAGAGTATTGAGAAGCAAAGGGATTTAAGAAGTGTGGCTAGGGATGAATGGTTTTCCATTAGAGTATTAGTAATTTAAGAATAACTCTAATATATTTTACAAGATTCTAATCACTTAGACACCGACCAGGTGAGCTTTCACACTTCATATCTTTCACAAACTCTAAAACTTCAAGATCTTTTGCTAGATACATTAATGATTTAACACTTCATGTGGGAACTGACTTCTTCTATTTCATGATGCTTGATAAGAATTCTTGTTAGACACCAATGTAACACCCTAATTTCTCCCCGCGTATTTATAATTAAAAACCAGAGTAATTTAAAAACTTCATCCAATTAGGATGCTACTTTTATCAACACAAACATGCTCATATTATAATAACATGTAACACATACAACTTATTAAAATTATTAATAATAACAATAAAAACTTCAACATGTTTAACTTCATTTTATTGCAGTGGAAAAACATCGATAAAGTATTCAAATACTTATTTGACATAACACATGTTATAAAGTAGTCATAAAACTTGCAACATAAGAGATACTATGAAATCTCTAACAAATACACCATAACACTCAAACGTTCGACCCCCAATGTTACATATTAGAGCAGACACCGACTCGATAAAAGTATAATGAAAAGCACTCTATTATAATCACATTCACACCTTCACTGCAGATCACCTGCGTGTTACCCACGTGGAGGCAACATTTAAAATGAAGGGGTGAGAAATCACAACTAAATTAGAATTGCATAATAACATGTAATAGCATAGAAAATCACATATACAATTCACATCACTCACGCATCACATGCTAAACACATATAACATACACAAACATTCACATACTAACACATATAGCCTACATAGATAATCACATGCCAACATATATAGAATACACATATATGACATGCTAACACATGTAGCATACACAACCAATATGCAATACAATGAGACACTATTATATGACTCAATGCATGTGGTACCATCGGTTCATAAGAACCCATCAATTAATTCCCGTTGAAATTCGACTACATTGCTCATATCCCACCGGGAACACGATCATCCCACTCCTCGTCGCTCACACCCTACCGGGCACACGACTAGTTATCATCGCTCACACCCTACTAGGAACACGATCAAATACGATTCTCGAATAGAATCTGTATACATCGCTCACACCCCTGTCGGTAAACGACAACCCCACACTTGTGCATATAATGTATGCATGACGTATATAGACTCATGCAACAACAACAATATACACATTGACTTTCACCATAGTCAGTACACTTCACCACTACGACCACTATGCAACATTCACCTGCCAAAACATGCAGCAATAGCAACACATCGATACAACAAACAATCACAATACATTTGCAACGTTCCACATAACAACATAACCACTACTACAAAACACACAAACAACAACACCCAAGTCATCACGTCAAAGGATACATTATGGTAGAATCTAATAAACTAGGCACGCTTTTTTTATTTTCATATTTAAGCCACTTTTCACCACGGTTGAAAGTTTCAATCGTGGTAAAAAGTGGCACATGATCATGAGTTCGAATCTTGATGTTGGATTTATTCTACTGCTGTATTTTTTATATTTTATTAAAAGACATACAACAAAGGTTATTTAATACAACAATTGTTGTATATAGCGAGCATGGTCATGAGTTCGAATCTTGCTGTTGTTTCTTTTCTAGTGCTGCATTTTTTATATATTAAAATACATATCACAATGGTTATTTAATATAACCGTTGTTATATGTAGCATATTTATTGAGTTTCTTTGTCATCCTTAAATTTATCTCAACTGTCTATTACAGTTGCTATCAACTCTCAAGACACCACTGTTAGCGATCCGCGTGAAACCTAAAAATTAGACGAACTTCATATTCTACCTTGAAACATCATATTTCATTTACGACACTCTATTTATCCACTAAAACAAGCTCCAAAATATCATTTCTTCCATAAGTAAAACTCGAAAGCATCATTTCTTTAATTTCTAAAATGCCGAACTCCGTCATTTATTCTCCATCTTGAATGAGACAAGGAAACTATGGATTCATTATTGTTGTTGTTCTTGTTATTATTATTGTACGTTGTTGTTATTGTTATTGTTGTTGTTGTTATTCTTCTTCTTCTAATTTTTATTGTTCTTGTTGTTGTTCTTCTTGTTCTTGTTATTGTTGTTGTTGTTCTTTTTGTTTTCCATGTTGTTCTTGTTTTTCATTTTGTTCTTGTTGTTGTTTTTAATGTTCTTACTGCTATTTATTTATTTTATTAAAAGACATACGACAACGGTTAAGTTAACTAACTGTTGTGATATCACACGAACTTTTTAATATACTATAACGGTTCCAGAGTCGTGATTGTAAGTTATGCATATACAACAACATCTATACAAAAACGCCTGGACCTGCGTGTTTATATGAGTTTTCCAACCGTTGTTAAATGGGTTTTTCGTGGTAGTGAGCTCGACACATACTGTAATACGGTGGGAGAACTGACTTTTTGGTTTTATCCAAAATGTGCGGATAGCTAGAGTCGCCACCGACTTTTCTTTTATCCAATAAGGAAAGGGTGAAAAGAACAGGAAAGACCTTGATAGATTTTGAGTTCGGGGTGGGGGGGGGGGGGGGGGGTAAGATATGAAAAGGGAATGTGTTATCACCCTTATCACCCATAGTTAATTACAGACTCTTAATTAGTTAGATCACTTTTAAAAAATTTCTTTGTGTGTGTGATTTGTTTGAAACTATTTTGAAATCGCTAATGTAAGGCTGACTTTGTAATACTTCTTGTATCAGTCCTCAAGAATGTATACAAAGTGTTTGTTTGAAAATATTTGTTGTTTTGAAAGTGGGATGTGAGAAATGTTTTGAAAAAAGTTTATTCGCAAGTAATTAAGTGTATCCTACCCACTAAAGGTCGTTCTTATTCCTTTCCTTCTC